GGGGTGGCATCTGCAGAGAGTGAGGTCGAGGGAGGGGGAGGGGAGGAACTCCCACGGGGTGCAGTGCCACAGAGTCCACCTCCCCAGAGCAGCTGTTTCCCGCAGATGGACTGACCTCTGTTGCCTGGAGATCTGTCACAATCAGTGTTCCCTCTAAGCTGAGTGTGAGCCAGCTCACAATTTTTAGCCTCCAGCTCACAGAGTTTTGCCTGAGCTCAGGAAGGAGGGAGGGCTCCAGAGCAAACCATTTTATGCAGTAGCCAAAGTGCTCACTCACAGCTTTAATGCCAGGAGCTCACAGAGTAGGATTTTTGCCCACCGGACTCTCCACCGCTTGAGAGGGAGGCCTTGGTCGTACTCCTAGGAGACCTCCAGGCCCCACAAAGAGGCTGGCAACCCTGCTCAGGTGGGCTCTTTTAGGAAAGATCCCAAAGTGCCTTTGCATGCCATGTGGGTGGGAAGGTGTGCGTATTTGTCGGACTCATACACATTCGCCCCCTTGTCCTTATTTTAGCCACCCGTAGCAACCATTAAACCCCCCCCCCATGCCACTGGAGAGATTTTGGAGGGGATTTTTTAAAAAATGGCACTTGACATAGCATCGTAGCCTAAAATTGTTAGCTGTGTCTCAACACTACAGCGATGTGTCAATTAATAGTTTGTTTCACCCTCAACAGCTGTTGCCACTGAGACTGCTGCGGCATCGGCATGGGTGATGAGGGTTGCCAACCCCCAGGTGGGGCCTGGAGACCCCCTGCTGTTACAACTGATCTCCAGGTGACCAAGATCAGGAGCAATGGCTGCGAGGGAGGGAGGGAGGGAAGGCCTGGCCTTATAGTACAGCATTTTGAAGCCTTTTTTAAGGATGGTTCGTCATACCTGCCTTACCCAACTCTACCCCCGAATCTCCAGGCATTTCCTAATCCAGAACTGGCAACCCCGGCACTGGCCAAAAAGGGATCCACTGTGGCATCTTAGCAGTGGGAAGGGGAGGTCAGGACGCGGGAGATAAGGGGATCCGAGAGTCCAGCTAGACATGAGTGATGCCGCTTAAGAGAAGAATTTAGCCATTTAAAAATTGCCACAAGAAGGTCTGCGGTGTGGCAGCAACAGGTTATCTTGTTTCCCCCTCCGTGCCTTTAATGATTTGGAGATGGGAGTAAGCAGTGAAGTGGCTAAATTTCCGGATGATACGAAGTTGTTCAGAGGTATGATTTGGAGTTGGGAGTAAGCAGTGAAGTGGCTAAATTTGCGGATGATACAAAGTTGTTCAGGGTGGTGAAAACCAGTGAGGATTGTGAGGCACTCCAAAGGGATCTGTCAAGTATGGGCGAGTGGGTGTCAACATGGCAAATGGGGTTCAATGTGGCCAAGTGCAAGGTGATGCACATTGGAGCTAAAAATCCTAAATATAAATACACATTGATGGGGTCTGAACTGGCAGAGACTGATCAAGAGAGAGATCTTGGAGTTGTAGTGGATAACTCACTGAAAATGTCGAGACAGTGTGTGACTGCAATAAAGAAGGCCAATGCTATGCTGGGGATTATTAGGAAGGGTATTGTAAACAGATCAGCCAATATCATAATGCCCCTATATAAATCAATGGTGCAACCTCATTTGGAATACTGTGTGCAGTTCTGGTCACCACACCTTAAAAAAAATTATAGCTTTGGAAAAAGTGCAGAAAAGGGCAACTCGAATGATCAAAGGGTTGGAACACTTTACCTATGAGGAAAGGTTAAAGCGCTTAGGGCTCTTTAGCTTGGAGAAATGACGACTGAGGGGTGACATGATCGAGGTTTATAAGATCATGCATGGGAAAGAGCAGGTAGAGAAAGAGGTACTTTTCTCCCTTTCTCACAATACAAGAACTCGTGGGCACTCCATGAAATTGCTGAGCGGTCGGGTTAGAACGGATAAAAGGAAGTACTTCCTCACCCAAAGAGTGATTAACACTTGGACTTCACTGCCACAGGAAGTGGTGGCGGCTACAAGCATGGACGGCTTCAAAAGGGAATTAGATAAGCATATGGAGCAGAGGTCCATCAGTGGCTATTAGCCACAAGGTATAGATAGGGACTCTGTCTTCTTGGTGCTCTGTCTTCTTGGTGCCTGGGGGGGGGTCAACAGTGGGAGGGCTTCTAGTGTCCTGGCCCCACTGCTGGACCTCCTGATGGCACCTGGTATTTCTGGCCACTGTGTGACACAGAGTGTTGGACTGGATGGGCCTTTGGCCTGATCCAACATTGGCGTCTCTTATGTTCTTACATTCTTAAAAGCCTTGCGATGGTTGTTTTGGCCCTTTAAAAGTACAGGGAGGAGACAAGGTTGCCTGTTGCTGGGTTGGGCCGTCCTGACTGCTAAATTCTCTCCTTAAATGGCCTCAGTGGCTACAGGCTGGCCCTGACTGGACAAGATATCAAATGCAAGTTGGGTTGGAGAAACCCCGGCCTGACTTGCATTTAACGTGTGACTTGGCACTCATCTTCAAAGGGGGGGGTTAGGGTTGCCAGCTCTGGGTTGGGAAACTCCTGGAGATTTTGGGGTGGAGCCTGAGGAGGGTGGGGTTTGGGGAGGGGAGGGGCCTCAGCAAGGTATGATGCCGTATTGTCCCCCTTCCAAAGTAGCCGTTTTCTCCAGATAAAGTATTCCCTGCCACCTGGAGATCAATTGTGATTCAGGGAGATCTCCAGCCACCAACTGGAGGTTGGCAACCTGGGGGACAGCTTCTGAGTGCAGCACAGTGGTGGAGGGGCTTCCTCGTCCCCTCCCTCCCGCTGCCCATGCTTCCACTGGCAGGAAAAGGCCAGGGGAAGCTCGCCGGTTTGTCTTCCATTATGCATGGCTCCATTGATCCTTCGCAATGCACCTTTATTTTCTCCTTGGTTCCTTTTTTGCACTTCGGTTTTGTACTGAAATATCGATCTCCTTTTGTTTTGTTCTAGGAATGAACTAAAATGCTCCACAGGTGACTTGCGTGCATTCTGAGAGGAATAAGGTCCCGGGCGTGTTAGAGGGCGAGAAGGGACCCCACTCTGCCACACTGAGCTTCATCCCTCACCGTGCCCACGCTGAGCTTCATCCCGGACTGCCAAACCCGCTAGCCCACTGGGGATCGCCAGCTTCTGAGAGGGAGGAGGAGGAGGAGGAGGAGATGGGATTCATACCCCGCCCTCCACTACCCAAAGGAGTCTCAGAGTAGCTTACAAACTCCTTTCCCGTCCCCTCCCCACAACAGACACCCCTGGGAGGTAGGTGGGGCTGAGAGAGCTCTGACAGAACTACGGCTTGCCCAGGGTCATCCAGCCAGGTGCGAGTGGAGGAGTGGGGAACCATACCCAGTCCTCCCAGATTAGAGTCCGTGCACTTAGCCACTGCACCAGACTGGCTCTCAGGGGCCTCAGCCATTTTAATGAAAAAAGCCATTCCATGCAAGAAGTCTGTCTTTTGGGGAGATGAGGCAGCACACAGGGTTGCCAGCCTCCAGACGGCACCTGGAGATCTTCCACTATTACAGTTGATCTCCAGAAGACCAAGATCAGGTCATGGCCGCTTTGGAAGGTGGGCTCCGTGGCACTGTACCGGCTGAGGCCCCTCCCCAAGCCCCGCCCTCTCCAGGCTCCACCCCCAAAATCTCCGGGCTGGAGCTGGGCTACCCTAATAATTTTAAACTCAGCAGATACTATGAACGAGGCACCCCGGTTCACTGACTGGATGGCTCCAAGACCTTGTAGATGTGGAGAACATCCTCGTCACAACCTACTGAACTCGGGAACAAACTACAGAGTCTCTTTTTTAAATGTGAGTGCCTTTAATGATGAGTGGGTGACCTCGTTCACCTAAGAAATCCTTAGCTAACAGGACTTGAGCCCATTTTAGATGTCACACAACCACACGGAGTGGGAGCATGCTAATGAGGGCATATTAACCCCAGTGCTCCTGACACCGGCGGTCACCCTTTTGCGTGAAGAGAGCAAAGTGCTAGTTTTCTGTGCATGCCTGGAAGACCCTCATGCTGCCCTCTTCGCACAAAAAGCCGGCTGCGGATTGCAGGACCCTCAAGGGGAAAGCCTCATGGGCCTCCATGCCATCCGTATGGCCCTGCAGGACCCACCATTTGGCTGCTGCGTGAGACAAGAGGCTGGACTAGACAGACGGCTGGTCTGATCCGGCAGGGCTGATCTGAAGTTCTTATGAGGGTGTGGTCCCATTCGTGGATTCCTGGAGAGAGCGTCTGTAATGTCTGAAAAGGGCTTTGGTGTTACCCAACAGGAAGCCCGTTTGGCTGGCCAGCGATTACAACTTCCGGAACATTCCATAGCAAAATATCTCCCATTCTTATAAAACAACTGCAATCGATTCAGCTCTAATTGTGTGTAGTGGCTGAGTGTCGGGCTAGGATCTGGGTGACCCAGGTTCAAATCCCCACTCTGCTGTGGGAGCTCGCCGAGTGACCTCGAGCCAGCCTCACCCTCTCGGCCTATCCTACCCCACAGGGTTGTTGTGAGGATTAGATAGAGGAGCACAGTGTTGTCAGCCGTGTTGGGTTCCTACGGAGGAGAAAGGCTGGAGAATCAGCGAAGTATAAAGGGAATAAATGTTTTGACTACAGTTTTGGTGAACGGTCCGTCGCTGCCCTTCACCCTCTGTCGGAAGCGGCTAAGAAGGACTCCCGCGGCTACAACAGGGACTCCCACACCACCCGTTCATGTATCACCTTTTTTATTGTTAAGTGAAAAAATAATTTAAACTCAATGATTTGCACATGTGGCAAGGTTGACAAGCGAAAGGATTCCCCGCCTAGCTGCCCGTTAGGGATAAACCATGACGTGTACAGTGGTTAAAAAAATCAAAAGCCACAACTACAAATCTGTAGAAGTCTCCCTCCCCACACACACACACCCTTTATTGGGACCAGGGACCAGCATCTCCAGCAGAAACCACCGCCATCTCTTCCCCCACCCAAGACGCGATCCGCCAACCCTCCCGGCAGCCATTCACGTGATCTGGAGGGGCGTCTCCAGCATCTCCATGAGGAAGGTGTCGATCGGGGTGTCGCCAATCAGCTTGAAGAAAAAGAGGTGCTCCAGACACTTCAGCCCGATGGACCGCAGGGCCGGCAGCCGCAGGAGGAGTTTGGCGAACCTGAAGGAATGAGAGAGAGATGCGGAGAAGCCAATGAGAGAAGCCCAGCAGGCATTCTCTCACGAAGGCCGCAGAGGAAGCGCTCTGCCTCTCCACTGGGTCTGGGCCAGGCTGAGATGGCCAACAGGCCTGGAGAGGAGAAGGGGCCTGCCCCTTTCACAGAAGACAAAGACAAGATCGGACTCATCCCTCCCGCCCTTCACCACCTGAAGGAGTCTCAGAGCAGCTGACAATCTCCTTTCCCTCCCCCCCCCCACCACAGACACTCTGTGAGCAAGGCTCCCTCTGAGCCGTGGAGTCCGGTGAGCAAAAAATCCTACTTTGTGAGCAACTGGCATTAAAGTTGTGAGTGAGCGATTTGGCTGCTGCATCAATGAGTGTGCTCTGGAGCTGTCCTTCCCGAGCGAGGACAAACATGTGTGAGCCGGAGGCTAGAAAACTGAGAGCTAGCTCACACCAACTACGCTTAGAGGGAACACTGCCTGTGTGGTAGGCGGGGGCTGAGAGAGCTCTTTCGAGGACTGCGCTTGAGAGAACAGCTCTGAGAGAACTTGTGACTGACCCAAGGTCACCCCAGCAGCTGCATGTGGAGGAGGAGTGGGGAATCAAACCGGGTTCTCCCAGATTAGAGCCTGCACTCCTCACCACTACACCAAACTGAGGCTTAATGGGTGAAAATGGGCAGCTGAAGCTCTTCATGGTGAAAAGTACGCAGACGTCAAAGCGTACTTTATTCGATCAGGAACAAGAGAGTTTTTGCCGGCTCGCAGGCCGGCTTATATTCCCCGTGAAACCACCACCCATAACACCCCCCCACTTCCCAATAGGTTATTTACAGGGGCCGAGAGTTCCGTAGGCTCACGGCCGGGACTTAGCCCCCTGATTGGTGCGGGCTAGGATCCGCATAGTCTATTGTCTCTAAGAGCGAAGCTCGATGTTTGTGCTTGACCGTGTGGAGCCCTAGCCGGCCACGCGGTCTGACTGGATATATTACACGTGGCATGGAGGTAAAGAACATCACCTGGTAAATAACAGCCCATTAAGCTTCTGTTGAAGAGATGGGACTCCCCCCACCCCCTCCAGGTAGCTGGCAACCCTGGGCTCCGTGGGCAAGGCTTCAGTAGCAACAGGAGGGACATATACATTTGATGCTCTGTCACCTGGTGCGTGGGGGGGGGCAACAGTGGGAGGGGGCTTCTAGTGCCCTGGCCCCACTGCTGGACCTCCTGATGGCACTGGTATTTCTGGCCACTGTGTGATACAGAGTGTTGGACTGGATGGGCCTTTGGCCTGATCCAGCACTGGCTTCTCTTATGTTCTTATGTTCTTTACAACGAAATCTTATACTCCACATTTTACGAATGAGCGAGAGGACATTGCTTCCTGACACATCTATTTATTTAGTTGGTTGGTTAATTGCTGAATCCCTGCAGTGCAGGGCTCTGGGCTCTGGGCGATGTACATCATTCGTAAAAACATCAAGGTAAAACAATTAAAGCATTAATAAGGTATTTCAAACAAAAAGATGGCCTATATTAATTTGTCCCGTTACAGACGGCTGGCCGCTTTGCAGGCGGGGGGGGGGGAGAGGGCAAAACAGATGTGGACAGCAGCTGGGGCAGAGAGGGGGTCCGCTAGGATGGAAACCGGGGCTGCCCGCAGCTAAAGGCCTGGCGGAATATCTCTGCCTTGCAAGGAGGACCGATCTGTGTGAGTTGCCCTCCACAGCTGGGAGAAGATCACCCAACAAGCTTTAATGGCGGCGGCGGTGTGTGTGTGTGTGATTTGGGTCTCCCAGACCCTAGGCCAGCTCTCTAACCAACTACACCACAGAGAGCCCAAATTGGGGGGGGGGGGTTGAGGAGCATTCCATGGAACTCCTTGGTAATGTTCATCCAATTTTATTGATTTCACACACTTCTGCACTGCTTGCTGACTTCAAAACTTCAAAAGGATTCACAACACATATGAAGCGCATACTAAGAACATGTGTAAAAACATATAATTGTCATCAAATGCACAATGTCGAATCACAGCCAACACCAGTAGGAGGAAATCGAACACTGGCTGGAGGTATTCGTTGTTGTTGTTGTTGTTGTTTAAAGAAAGGATAGCAATGTCGTGTTCTGCATTTTAATTGTTCTATGCCATTTTCATGCTTCTTGTGAAAATATTTGAAATGTCATTCAGAAAGTGTTGGGGATTGTTTTCCTGGGGGGAAGGGGGCAGACCTACCACTGTATTCTGCAGCAGCCTTTGGGCTGTGTTTTATTAGAAAATCAGCAGCACAAGGTTAAATTTTAGTAAATGAACTACGGAACTCTGAGGAGCAAATTACACCAAGCGATAAAGAGAGAGAGACTTTTGGAAATCAAAAGAACAAAGTTTGAGTCCAGTGGCACCTTTCAGTAGTGGCACACACCCGAAAGCTCATACCTGGAATTAACTTTTGCTGGTCTTCGGAGTGCCCAACTGGACGCAGACTTTGTTCTTGTTGCTTCAGATAAACCCAGCTACCCACCTGAATCTCTTTTTTTGGAAATCAATCAATCTAATTTATTGCGGCAGGAGCCAGTAAAATAGTACAATTCTGATATAAAAGGGATTAAAACAGTAATAACATGGAAATAATATTAAAACATTAACAGGAGTTAATAACATTAGTAAAGTAAAATAGTGTTAATAAGAGAATCATACAATTTTTTCAGCTAAAATAAGTTTACGTTTCCTAATAGCTAAGCAACAAAATGTTGCCACAGCGTAAGTCACTGAGCTCTGAACGTCTTCTAAGAGGAATTTACGATGGACTTCTGGCCTAAAGTCAAGATAAGACTGCAGAGGGCTAAATCTAGACAGAAGGGGTAGTATAAGATGGTCTCGTTCCACCTGATAAAATCTGCAGAACAGGAGGAGATGAGTAATTTTCCACCATATGCATGGGCATACACGTTCATGCATTGGGACTCGAGCAGAGGTCATTTCGGGGGGGAACGCGGGGGAACACAGTTCCCCCGAGTGAGGTGCAGGGGGCGGGGCACATGATGAAGCCCCGCCCCCCTGCTTCCGGCCATCCCGCTTCCAGCCCTCATTCAGCCAGGAGGAGGCAGGAGAAGAGGGAGGGTAAGTTGCTTCCTCCCCGCCTCTCCCCACCCCCGCCTGCCTGGGGCCAGGGAGGGCCTTGGCGGGGCTTTCTCGCACTCCCGCTGGCCTTGCAGGTCCACCGCCGGGCCCCTGATGTCAGGGGGTGTGGCATATGCTAATGAGTTATGCTAATGAGTTCCCCTAGCTCTTTTTCTACGAAATGACCCCTGGACTCGAGTGAATTTACCTTGCAGTACAACAGAAGGGAGTACCTCAAAATGGGCCATTTTTAAGTTTACCCACACTGCTTTTTACTTGTGAATACTGTGGGAACACAATCAAAGAAGGAAATTTTTGGACCATAAGTAATTAGTTTATTATTATTACTATTACTATTTATTTTGGGGTTTTAAATTGCTTGATATACTGATTTTCATTTTTTCCCCTTAGGTTTATTTTATAACCACAGGGCTAGTGATTGCACTTTAAAGGTCTTATGTGCATATTTACCCTGTGCCTGGTGATTTTACTTTTGAAGTAAGTTTATGGTCTATATTTATAGATTGGCTATATAGATTTGAAATTCTTTAATTTGTTGTAAAATATGTGTTTAATCTTTTATTTTTTACTTTTTACAGCAATTTACTTTATGGTCCTTATTGAATCTATATTTTGTATATATTTCTGATTGTGTTTATGTGAATATAATTATTAACCATCTTGCCACATGTATGACCTCTGAGGAAGGCCTATTTGGCTGAAACGCGTAAGGTCAACTTTTTAAGCCCTTGATATTGTTATGTTTTATATACATTGGTTGTAAATGGGCCCCTATATATGTTTTAAAATTTGTTATTATTAATAAATACATGTACCTCTTTTTATTTTTTATGGAAAGGTTTTAATATTGGCCCTCCTTTTCACTAACCTTTGTTTGGTTCTGAACTAAATAAGGGGCAACAGTAACATTTGGCCAAGATTTTATGTTTCTGTAGTTCTCGGGTAGCAAAGCTTCTTCATTTTGTGATTCAATGTCACAAAGCCTCTGCACGACAGCTGTTCTTGCCTTGTAGAGACTTCCATATAAGAGATCTCCTGGGAATAGGCCAATCTGATTTAATTTATTAAGAATTTGTGTGGACCAGGCAGGGTAAGGGTCCGAGGCTAAAATCAGAGAAATGTGATAACGCTGTGCTTTGGAACAGGCATGTTCAGATATTTTTTGTTTGTAAAAATAAAAATAGTGCCCAAAGCTCAAGGCAAAAAGGTTTCCAGATGTTTGCCCACAGAGGCCTTGGCTAGCTGACACGAGATGAGCTTCGTTTACTGCAATTGATGGTCTTTGGCTTGTCTTTCCCTCCACGGCTGCGTCAGCGTCTGCTGTGGCCAAATCCACCACGGAATAACCTCGCACTGCAGTGCTCTCTGTTTCCCTATAAACGAGAGTGCTGTGGAGTCCATCTTCCCTCCATCCGTTCAGATGCCTTCATAAATGTATCTTCCTAATGGATGGGCACTCCCACGCATCCAGTGAAGTGTGCTTCAACACACAGAGAGACCATTTACGGTGGGATGGAGCTGGAGATCCAAGGGGGTGGTGTGGTGGTTCATGGGTGGGACCAGGGTCTGGCAGGTGCAGGTTCAGATCCCAGGTCAGGCCATGGAAGCCTTGTGGTAATAAAATGGAGGAGAGGAGAGCCATGATGTGAACCACTTTGGGTCTCCATTGCGAACTAAGGCAGGCATGGCTGCCAGACCCCCCCTGGCCGAGGAGGAGGAGGAGGAGGTCCCCTGCTGCCAGGCCTCACTGCCAATCAGCGGGCCAGCGGGGGTGGGGGGGAATTACCACACACACAAAAGCGAGGCCCCCCCCGCTGGTGTCACAGTGAAGTGTCGACATCACTTCCAATGGGACCTGGAAGCGAGCTCATCATGTCAGCACTGTCAGGCCAATGCTCTCTGGTTGGGATTTGGGCAAAAACCTCTACGGTAGAAGCCAAATTTACCAGAGTTCTTGCCCAAATACCAGAGCATCGCCCTGACCTCACTGATGTGATGACGTCACTTCCGGGTCACTTTGGAAGGGACGTAGGCATGTTGCTGCAACGTTGGTTGGGTCTCCCTCCCACCTGGCGACCCTGAAGGCAGGGCATAAATGAAGTAAATAAATAGATATTGTTTGACTTAGAAAAGTGCCACTTCTTGTTTAATGTTGCTTCTCTGGACTGACCTGGCTATACTGCCCACACCCCCAGAGCCTGCTCATACTTACCTTCCAGGTTGCTCAGGATATTTCTGTTTGGTATATGCCTCCAGAGCTGCATAGACTTTCTCCCGTAGCAATTCTACTTCTGCTGGGCTGGACAGACCTTTGGCATCTGGGGAGAGAGGAATAAATTACCTCTGCAAAGTCAAGAGGGAGAAAGGATTACAACTACCCTTAGAGGCAACTGTGCCATCATGTTTACGAGAGGCAGAGGGCAGAATCAACATAGGCATTCGCAGCTGAAAACCAGCAAGACTGCCAAGAGGCCGGGCTAGGCCATGACATGTCATGGGCAGCCCTTAAGACGTCTTCTTGCGATGATTGCCTCAGCTGGAATGTCAGGAAACAGATACACAATCCCTGCTTATCTCTCGTGATTGCAAAAAGTTTATTCTTCGTCTGGACCTGTTTAAATTCGATGATAATATCAGGGGAAGCGTTTTCAGGAGCCTTTTTGGGGATATTTAGCCAGAAGGCAGAGCTGATGATCCCTTCAGAAGACACTGCTTCTCCTGCTCCTAGAAGAATCTGAGTCAGCCATTTGTTTAAAGCTGCAGTGAGATTTTCTTTTTCACTAAAGTTTACAGATACTCCATGGAGTTTAACCTTTTCTTTCAGTTTTGTTTCCTGGAGTATGATCTTATTCTTGGCCCATATCTCAAATTCCTGAAATTCTTTAATGTCGTCTGCATTCATTTTTGCTGAGTGAAATGCTGATTCAACTTTCCTCTCTGTCGTTTTCAACGCTGCGGTGAGCTCATCTAATTTCTTATTTATAGGCTCAATTGTTTGTTTGAGCAGCCCAAATTCATTTTTTAACTGTCCAACCTCTCCACTCAGAGACTTTAAATCATTCTTGATTTCATTCCTTATCTCTGTTAAGGCATGCAATAACACAGTCTGTTCACTTTGGTCAGGATTACTCCCCCCCTGTCGCCATTTCCTCTAACATAGACACCTCTAGGTCTGAATCATCTGAGTGTTAAAGGTCAGTATTACTCTTTTTGGGAGGTCTATAAGGAGGATTTTTAGTACCTTTCTTTGCTCTGTTCCTTCCCATTGGTATTTGTTCCAAACTTGGCCGTATTTTCTGGAAGCAGAGCTCTAATTTTTCTGTGGGAATAGCAGGAGCTGGAAGGTGCAGCCAGCCGGAAGCTCCGCCCCCCCCCCCCCCCGAAACTGGTCTTCTTTAAGAGAGTTTTTCTGCCTAAGGGTTAGCTTTCTTGACTATAGAAGTCATCACCCCCACCTGCTGGCTTGTTCTCAGAATTGTTGCTTAGGCTGGCAGAAGTGATTGACTTGCAGCTACTGCGAACTGTCATCTAAAGTGGTTGACAGTTTGCCATTTAGAGATCTACCCTGGTAACAGCTTTCTTTTGGCTAAATGGTTAATAGGCTAAGGGTGATTGTGACCATAAGAACACCTATGTAGAATAGAAAGCTTGAGGAGAGAGAAGAATAGCTGAGTCATAATCCTCAGAATTCTGGCTTTTCTTTCTGCAGTAAGAACTTCAGCCCAACCAGAAAAAATATTTGCACCACAAGCTTCAAAATCCTGGCCATGGGCCTGCTCCCTCTGCACCCCAGCCTCCATTCTTCCTTTCCTGTCACTGCCTCCTGCTGCCTCCTGGCTGCCATAATGCTCCACAGCAACCAGCGGCAGCAGTGGCCCAGCTCCATGAATGAGGAGGGTCCCCAGAAGCCGGTGAGAAGCAGCCTCAGTAGCAGAACCAGCAGCAAGGAGCCCCGGTCTGTTCCCTGGGTGGGCTGGCAGCCCAGGGCTCAATGCTGCTAACTGCAGAGGATGCCCCACCCCCACCCCCCGGGGCATTGGCTACCTGGATTGAACAGGACGATGGCTCGGAGGCAGCCCAGCTCAGATTTGTCCATCTGCATGTCTTTCATTTTGGACACCAGTTCCGTGAGAACTCTGCACACGCGGGAGAAAGTGAGCAAAAGAAAATCTGAGATGCAATGTATTTATTTATTAAAACATTTATACCCTGCTGTTCCTCGTGGTTCAAGGGTAGCTTTCAATAATAGTTTTGTGGGTTTTTTAAAATCCAGAATAAAATAGCAAACCCGAAAGCTCTCCCTCCCCCCTTAAAAAGATGCCTGCCACTCACCAGGGTTCCCAGCCTCCAGGTGAAGCCTGGAAATCTCCCTGAATGTACAACTGATCCCTGGGCAATTTCCCATGCAGAACATGGCTGCTTTGGAGGGTGGGCTCTCTGGCATGAGACCCTGCTGAGGGACCCTCCCCTCCCCAAACCATGATCTCTCCAGGCTTCACCCCCAAATCACCAGGAGCTTCCCGGCTTGGAGCTGGCAACCCACCCACCCCCTCAAAAGCTCCAGCAAGCAAGCAGGCCTTGCAGCGCCTCCTGGAGACCAGCCGCAGGTGTCTTTGGAGAATGGTTTTATACCCTGTAATAATCCTCTTTGAGCCTCAGTGGACATGGTGGGCTATAAATGGTGCACATAAAATAACAGCAAATAGAGATCTTGAGAGTGAAACGCAAGGTTGAGAGGCTAGGGACCCTCTATGAGCAAATTCATATGAGGTCTAAAGCCATAAAAAAAAAAAAAAGCACAGAGCCTTTACAAACAGCATTTAGAGGAGAGAAACCACAAGGTGTAAGGTTGCCAGGTCCCCCTGGCCACTGGAAGGGGATGGGGGGGCCCCTAGGGTTGCCAGTCCCAGGTTGCAAAACTCCTGAATATTTGGGGGTGGAGCCTGGAGAGGACAGGGACTTCAGTGGGGTACAATGCCACAGAGTCCACCCTCCAAAGCATCCATTTTCTCCAAGAAAACCAATCTCTGTAGACTGGAAATTAGATGGGAATCAGTGTTCCCTCTAAGCTGAGTTAGTGTGAGCTAGCTCACAGTTTTTTAGCCTCCAGCTCACATATTTTTGTCTTTGCTCAGGAAGGATGGCTCCAGAGCAAACTAATTTATGCAGTAGCCAAATTGCTCGCTCACAACTTTAACGCCAGTAACTCATAAAGTCGAATTTTTGCTCACAAGACTCCACAGATGTAATTCCAGGGGATCCCCAGGTCCCACCTGGAGGCTGGCATCCCTACACAGCGGAGACCTTTAACTTTCCCACCCATCAATTCTCCTTTCCAAATCACATTCCCTTCAGTTCCCCCCCCCCCAGAAAAAACATTTACTTCTCCAGGGTTTCAAAAACTTGTTTGCCTAAACTCAGGGTTTTCTATTCGCCCGAACTACAAATCAGAATGTATCTAGGAGGGAAATTCATGAAGGCAGAGACAAGGATTTTAAAAAGAATACATGCCTGTCAAAAATGGAGCCCACCCCAGCACTGTGGGCACTGCTCCGGTGCACGTGTAAGCCCGTGGCTAACAGGATGCCGTCCTGCACGGAGACGGAGCGATGGGAGAAAGAGGCAATCAGCAGTTCGTTCCAGCCTGAAAGAGAGAGAGGATGGTGGTGATTGGTGCTGCTGAGAGCCCCAGACAAACAATCCCTCTGGGGAATCCACATTTCAAGAAATACCGATTCAGAGAGAAAGGAAGAAAGATAGAGAAGGGGGAGAAGTAAACTCCACTGACCTCAATAGAATTTACTTCCTATGGCCAGACAAATACAGAGAAGAGGACTCTCAGATCCTTCCGGAAAAGGCTCTTTTTGGATCCAGATTCTCTCAGACGTTTTCCTCACAAATGGGTCTCCCTGCTCCTGCATTTGTATTCCTCCTCCTCCTTCATTCGTTTCCACAGAGGTATTTGCAGTCTAAGGTGCAAAAACACAGTTTGTCTTTTCTTGCAGTGCAACATCAGACTTCCCTGTTTCCGGGAATTCCCTTGCTGCACCACAAGAGGGAGCAAACTGTGCTTTTGCTCCACGGACTGCAAATACCTCTGTGGAAATAAAAGAAAGCAGTGGAGGAATACAAATGCAGGACCAGGGAGACCCGTTTGTGCAGAAAATGTCTCACTGTAACCCCTGTTGCTTAACTGGAAAAGCTAGCGGGCCCTCCTTTGTTGCTAGGGTTGCCAGCCAATGCCTGGCATCCTGTGGGAGATGGGGGCCAGGAAATGGGGGGGCACTGGCGTTGCATGCAATGTGATGTCATTTCTGGGAAAAACCAGAAGTGATGTCATGTCACTCCCGGAATTGCTGGACACTCTATGGTAAAACTATGTCTGAATTCAAGTCAAGCGAAGAGGGGCAATTATGGATTTCTAGAGATGTTTCTTGGTGTTACTGGAGCCCCAAGACTTAAACTACTAAGTAGAACCCACAGGTATCCTGCCTGCTACTGCCTTACTCTCTCATGAGAGCAAAATTATTGCACCCCAAACAAACCTGGCTCAAGGAATGTTGTGCCCCTAGTCCCCCCCCCCCCCCCCCCAAGTGATATATACATAGCCCATGGGGACACTCCAAAAGGCCTTACTTTTAAAAAAGATCACTTAACTTGTGCTGGGCAAATTTTTTGCTTGCGTTGGAGTACAGCAGCTTCTTTATCAGCTGGAATCAAAATTACTATCTCCAAGCTAACAGTATGTATTACTCACGCACTGCAGTTGCACATGTTTTCAGCAACGGGTGTGTCTCAAAGTGTATTTTTAATGCAAGAAATCAAAAGGGCCAAATGCAACAGGAGATACAAATGTTGGCCATCCCAGTGACCTCAATCTGTAAACTTTCAAGAAAACAAGAGGTGAAGAAGCAGGAAGTGGCCATTTGTGTTGAGGAGAAGACTATGAAGGGGGGAAAACAGAAAGGCCGTTTGGGAGGCCAGGGCAACAGAGCTGAAACTGAGAACACTTTTGTGAGCTCTTGTTCCTTAGAGAAGAAGAAGAGATTGGATTTATACCCCACCCTTCACTTGGAGTCTCAGAGTGGCTTACAAACTCCTTTCCCTTCCCCTCCCCACAACAGACACCCTGTGAGGTAGGCGGGGCTGAGAGAACTCTGACAGAAACTGCTCTTTTTCAAGGACAGCTCTTATCAGAACCACGGCTTGCCCAAGGTCATCCAGCCAGGTGCAAGTGGAGGAGGAGTGGGGAATCAAACCCGGGTCTCCCAGATTAGAGTCCGCGCACTTAATCACTACACCAAACTGGCTTTCCTTATTGTACAGAGGGTCAGGAAATGTTTCTATTCAAGGGTTATTTAAAAGAGGTAAAGTTGGCTTGTGTTGATCTGGGTTAGGATTTGAGTGGTTTGAAAGGCAGAAAATTTAACAAGTGAAATTTTCTCCTGTGTATCGCGTCTTTGCCAAGAACGTCTTCATTTGCGGGATTTCTACCAGTCATGCAGCCATTGGGAGCCCAGGAGCTCTGCCAGGGGAGAAATGGGCAGTACTGCAGTGAGTCGATGGACTTGCCGGGGTCACAGGGCAAGCTTATCACGATTTGTTCCCACTATAGATTTGATTGGGAATATTTCTTTTTGGATTGTGATGAGCACACATCCCTCCCTGAACCACTTGCATTGCGCAACGAGGCTCTGGGCACCATCCAGATATCCACACCGCCGCTTGGGCGGGACAGCTTGTTTTTTTAAAAAAATTGGCTTTGCACATGCGCATATACACATGACCGAATTACCACTCCCACTGGGACTTGCCATACTGCCTTGTTCTTGCAGGTCCGTCCATCCCCAACAGCAAACAAAATTAACCAGTGACATACAACTGAGCGCTGGAGTCTATATGTGTGCTTGAACGTTTATACATTGAATTTATTCAACACAGGATTGCTCATGTGCATGACGACAGAAGCTTGTTAAAAAAAAACATTGCAAGAAGGACGTTCAGATTACCTAATTGCGATCATTGCAACCAATGGCTGTCCAGATCAACGAAATTGTGGATTCAGAGTGCAGATATCTGGAAAGTACTTGATTTTCCAGGTGTAGGAAAACTCGCTAGGGAACCAGGAGGATTGCGTGAGTGAGCCCACTTTGGTGCAACGGATGCGGGCGTCTAATCAGCAATTTTTAATGCAAGAGGGAACAGCAGTGAAACCTGATCAAAATGACCGTGTGACCACGGCCTGAGAAAAATGTGATGACACTTAGGATTGCACTGTCAGGATGGTGCTTGGGGGGGGGGGGATAAGTACTGAACCTACCAGGGCCACATTACAAGCGGTGTGGGCCTCAGAGCAGCGTTTATTTCCTACTCCACTTACGGCAAGGCAATCACCTTCTCTGTGGGGTACAGAGATGCAGAAAAGAACTCAATTGTGTTAAAACCGTGGCAGATCCTTGACACTACGCTGCCTCCAGAACAACCATTTACAAAGCCGCATGTCCTCTCCTCCCCCAAGAGCCAAATGCAGCTTCGTTTGGATTGTATGAATTACGTGGTACGTTTTTTTTCTCCCTAGCTATTTCTGAAGCTGACAGAAGATGGCGCCAATTCTTCATTTTAGATAAGAGCTGGAAGACAGATGCCATCTGTTGAGCAGTGGAACAGTCTGCCTCGGGAGGTGGTGGATGCTCCTTCACTGGACGTTTTGAAGCGGAGGCTGGACGACCACCTTTCGGGTATGTTGTAGGTATGTAGGGCTCTCTTTCGGCTGTGCTCCTGCAGAGTGCAGGAGGTTGGACTAGATGACCTGCCAGGTCCCTTCCAACATTGTATGATTCTATTATTCTAGTGGCTGCATCTAGTGACTTCATCTCATGTCCAGCCATAATATTTAAAGGTCTGGCTCCATGGGGGGGCCGGGATGATAATATTCCTTCTCATCCATTTATTAACCAGAAGACAAATGCATGCAAAGGAAGCAGTGCAATTAGCCCTGCCCAGGTAAAGTCAGACTTGCAAGCACTACATCAGCAGCTTGGCCTGGGGTCACCCCATGCTCCTGCTACACCTTCTCAAGGGTGCTCTGCATTCTGCTTAAAGGGCTGGAAAGCAGCATTGCAGGAGGGGAAGGAGACCCACGACTGGGTCTGATGTGCCCATTCAATAGTTCCATTTCTCCTTCTTCTTCCCAGAGGACCAAAGGACCCAGACAGCGCCTTCGTTCAGTCGGACCCCCGGTTCCCTCCCTCACTGCAGCCCCCATTCTGAGGGTGGTCAGGTCCGGGCTGGGAAACACTTGGAGATTGGGGGGGGGGTTAGAGTCAGAGGAGGGAGGGGTTTAGGGAGGGGAGGGGCTTCCGTGGGGCAGAGTGCCACAGAGCCGGCTTTCCAAAGCAGCCGTTTCCTGCAGGTGGACGGATCTGTCCCCCCTGGAGATCAGCTGTCATCCCGGGAGATCTCCAGCCACCCCCTGGCAAGGGTGTAGACTTTCCAATTTCCGGGGGGGGGGGGGGCTGGGGCTGGGCCAGAGGCATTGCTGTGCTAGGAGCAAGGGTGGCTCCCGGGGGAGGCTGAGCACCTTCCTGAAAATTTCGGCGGGGGCTAACGCCCCGCCGCCCCCACGAAGATTACGCCTATGCCTGGAGGTGGTTTATTTGGGCGCTGCACAGTTCCTTGCTCCCGGGACTGGCAGCCTCTACCAAAAGGGCAGGAAACGCTTGCAAATTCCATTGTTGCCTTTTACACCAGTCGGTGGGAGGTGTGTCCCCATTTCCTTCCTTCTGAGACTAAGCAGTGGTCGGGCTGAGTTCTGCCTCTCTGCCACACCCAGCCCTCCTTTCCTTGGCTGCCTCTCCACTGCATGTTACACTCTCTCCAGGTCTGCCCTAAATCCACTCCAGCTCCTATCAAACCAGATGGCAAGTTTTGTGTTCAGAACTACCAGCCATTTTTTGAACTCAGAGATGTGTGGAAAGAGGGCTTGTTAAGCCCCCCCCCCCCATTCATGCCATCCTTCCTCCCATGAAATGGCCCCAGAGTGCTGCTATTTGCACCACTGGGGGAAGCTGGGCCTGCTCTGATGGAAACACATCTGTAGCTTTATTGGTAGGTTCCCCAACAGGGCAAACAGCAGCTTCTTGTCTTTCTCCATTAGAGAAAGCTGTGGACGTGTTTCTTTATGTTTAATTCATGAGCTCTGAAGAGCCCTGTGAGGGAGGGCAAAATAGTCTCCAAAGAGCCCCCCCCAAAAAAAAGCTTTCCTGCTCTTGTTTGCGGTAGTAGCCAGCCACTACTTCCATGCATTTTAACAACAACAAAAGATCTTGCTGGCCGTAGGCTGGATCCAGACGACACTGGAAATTTCTCTCTGTTCCTCCTTCCTGCTGCAGAGGCCCCCCCCCCCAGTGCCTGTTGTGTCCTGGGAACCGCCACGAGGCGGTGGCCAGGCGAGCAGAGCTTGACTCCTAAAGAACAATAGAGACTAGGCTCCTAAGGTTCACTAGGGGAACCAATAGAAACCTTGGAGGGGAATTCAAACCCCCCCCCAATGGGATCCAGGGGTGTTCCCTTGGATATGTATATAGTTGGCCACGTGGCCGTTTGTCTTTGTCTTTTGTAGTGTGAAGTACTGAGTAAACGTGTGTTTATTATGTCGTCGTCCGAGTCGTGATGTATAGAACCGAGTACTTTACAGTGCCACAGCCTAGGGTCCCACAGGGGCAGCATTTCAGGGAGAGGGAAGAAAGGTCCCTTCCACTAATGGGGAATTTACTCGGGATCCTCCAACCCTACATGATCCAGACCAGCAGGGATCACAAAACCCACCAGGTCTGCTGATCTGATAACATCACAATACCCAGGGCTTTTCCGCATGGATTTTCCCCCCATCAGCTCAGCCCCCATACTCTTTTGCTTTATCCCCTGCTTTCCACATACATTGCTGTGTCTTTAATTTTCACTTCTTTTTTGTTTTCCCCTGTGGTTCCCCCCCTCCCCAACTCTTTTAAAACAACTTTTACCCCAACATTTTCCCGGAAGATGGTTCTGAATCAGCTTTTCCCTAGTGCATAATGTTTCTATGTGTTTTCTTCGTCCCACTGTCCCACCTCCAGCCCACTTTTCAATGGCTGCATTATTGTCCTTGCTGAACCACTTCCTCCCACCCACCCAGATAAGTGGTTTCAATTAGAATAGAAACTTACTTTTTAAAAAAATGAAAGGCGGGAATTCAGAGAACCTGCTTAAAGTATCACTGCAACATTACAGCATTATATTGATATTTTAGGGTGGTAATTTTGGGAGATGTACTTGGCCCAAGTATATTTTTTGAGTTAGAGACCAGCCCCCAAAAGGTTCTATGGTCACTACACTTGGTCTCTCTAAGTAGTTGTGACCATTTCTCCATGGCAAAGGCATGCTTCTTTTCAATAAACAGCCTATGACAATCCTTCTTCAATTCCCAAGGATATTCTATCCTCTTCCCTCATGAACATATAAGGATAAAGGCATATCTCCACAAGGAAAAGGGATAGAGACCAATGTTCCCTCTAAGCTGAGTTAGTGTGAGCTAGCCCACAGTTTTTTAGCCTCTAGCTCACACCTTTTTGTCCTCGCTCAGGAAGGAGGGGCTCCAGAGCAGGCTAATTTATGCAGTAGCCAAATTGCTCACTCACAACTTTAATGCCAGTAGCTCACAAAGTAGAATTTCTGCTCACAAGACTCCACAGCTTAGAGGGAACGTTGATAGAGACTTACTTTAAAAAAAATGAAGGCTGGGAATTCAGAGAACCCGCATGAACTATCATTGCAACAATACAGCATAACATCACTATTTTAGGGCCATTGTTTTAAGAAAATAAGGGACGGGTGCTCTGACACTACCGATCATAACACTGATAATAACAGGATTCTCCTTTGAAAATCCTCATTATTTAAGCCACCTGCAGAAGAAAATAAACTGACTCCAAAACTGTCAAAATTCACAGGGGGGCAGATGTGTGGAGCAACCCTGCCCAGACTAATTCCAGTGCTGGCAGATTGACTCCCGAGAAAATCTGGAGTAACTCCGGCATGCAGAAAAGTTACCCAGCCTCAGTGAGACAGGGCTGAAGTTCTTTTTAGCAAGCTGCACTTTTTTTTTCAGCTCTCTTTTCTTTTTTGTCACCAGGCAACATTCAAACAAGTAATACTTGGGTAGTTTGTTTCTGGTCTTAATGCAACCTTGTCCCGAGTGCTTTAGTGAACCAGTGCCATGTCGAGACACAAGGGGCCAAGGTCTGTACCTGCACGGAGAAGGATAACTTGGTCTTCCAGTGTGAGGTCGGAGAAGTGAGGGATCCGCTTGGCCCATTCCACCAAGGTGAAGAGCTGCTTGTCAGCCGCATGGCAGATATTAGTGACAGGATCATTGGTCTAAGGAAGGAATGGGAAGCTCATATCAGTAACCAACCCCCTCTCATTTCCATACAGATTTTGTTTCCAGGTATTAATAGGATCACACGGAGGTGCCTTATACCGAACCAGACCCTCGGCCCACCAAAGTCAGCACTGTCTACTCAGACTGGCAGCTCTCCAGGGTCTCGGGGGGAGGTGTTTCGCATCACCAACTGTCTGGCCCTTTTTTAAATTGGAGATGCTGCCGGGGATTGAACCTGGGACCTTCTGCATGCCAAGCAGATGCTCTACCACTGAGCGACGGCCCCTCCTGCAACATCCCCATGAAACTGTTGCTTCTGGCATAAAGAACACTGCAAAGGATTTCAGCAGAGACCCACAGACAGAGGTAAAAAGCTTGAAGTCCCATCCCAAACTGCCACCTACTGAATTGTCGGCACTTGTGTCACTGTAAGGTTCTGTTTTAGGTTCCACAGCCATTTCGGCTTCCAAAATCCTCTCCACGGGCATGTCTTCGTTGCTGCTACTGCTGCCGGTTGATTCTGCTTCATTTTCACTCCTCTCTCTGCTCCTCTGCCTCTCCTCTTGAACAGCTGGAGTAGGGGGGGGAAATGCACCATGTTTTGTCAAACCTGACATTTCCAGTATACCACTTTGGTGCCTCTGAAGAAAACCCTTTTTTTCCAGACCTGTAGACACAGGGGGCATTTGGGGGCAATGCCCCCCCCCAGAGATGAGTGCCACCCCTTGGACAAAAATTCAAAAAAATTCAAAGAATCTAAGGTGCATGTGGCAGGTCCAAAATGACCCCAGACACAGTCAGGGAAGCTTCAGTCTCATTTCCTTACTTCTGGGCCAAAAAAATAGGGTTTTTTTAAATGCGAATAAAAATAAAATTGTAAAAAATAAAATAAAATTGCAAAATGCAGAAGAGAGAGAGTCAGAGATCCCCCTTCCTCCTCCCCAGCTTACACAGAAAAGCAGCCTGGAATTGAGTCTCTCTGATCGAAAGGACTGGAGGACGAGAGGAGGACTGGCGGTCACAGCAGAGCTGCTGCAAGAGGAGCATCAGGCGCGGCCGGGGTGCCCCCCTGGATTTCCCCACGTCCCACCAGCTAAAATTTTCTGGCTGTGCCCCATTCCTTTCCTTATTCTCCCATCCTCATTTGGCCAAGACACACCCCTTATTTTAGGGCTTCTCAGCAGCCACTCGCTTATTCTCCAGCACCTCTTCCTCAAAGCAAAGAGCCAGTCCTGGCTTCCCTCCATTTCAGTGGAATAGGCAGAACTTCAGAAGACACCAAGAGGCATCATCTTTGTGTCTGCAGGGAACAACATTTAGCAACTGCTATTTTCATCATTGGAGGATCCTTTTTTTAAAATATATTTTTATTTGTTTTTAAACAATCGTTTACAACAATAAACATCACAAGCATTGAACAAGCAATAACGAGCAACAACAAGCAATAACAGGCAATAACAGGCAACAACAAGAGGATCAAGGTGAGTTATAAGCTAATCATTCAACAGTAGAAACCATTCTGACATTCTTGAACCTTCATCAACCAATAAATAAGGGTAAGGAGTGCTGGTAACTCTACTACCTTTGTCAATTAGGAGAACATGAGGACTAGATTGGAGCTAGGTCTCAGATATAAAAGAATTCTGTGTGTGTTTCATTTGTATATAAAAAAGAGCTAAAATAGCTAGAAGAAAAGCCAAGATGAGTAAGCTATGTTAGTAGGAAGAAGTTCTGCCTCTGTCATATACTGCAGCCACGGACCTTCCTTGGACCTTCCTATATTTTTCCGGTACCTCCCAATGTTTTGTGAACTGACCAAGCCCCCATGGCAGCCATTTTGTTGTGGCTCTCCCTACCTCTTCTTAAAGTTCCAAACATGTCTACAAATTCAACAAAGTTGGGGGGGGCTCCCTTACTCCCCCCACCCAATCTTCTGGGCTTCAGCCATAGAATGTCTTGTGTCTGAAACAGATTTCTCCTCCTTCTCTTTCTTCAAATGGTTCCTTAGCAAATGTTTTCCTAGCTTACCATAATTAGGGCATTAAAAAAAACCCCTAAAATTATGAAACTGGAGTACATATGCATAATTGAGAGCCAGTTTGGTGTAGTGGTTAAGAGTGCAGACTCTAATCTGGGAGAACCGGGTTCAATTCCCCACTCCTCCACATACAGCCAGCTGGGTGACCTTGGGCCAGTCACAGTTCTCTCAGAGCTGTTCTCTCAAGAGCAGTCCTCGAAAAAGCTCTCTCAGCCCCACCTACCTCACAGGGTATCTGTTGTGGGGAGGGGAGGGGAAAGGAGATCGTAGGCTGCTCTGAGACATCGAGTGAAGGGCGGGGTATAAATCTTCTTCATTTGTCTTATTTGTCACTGAATTCCCACCCCAACAACTGGGAAATCCTCAGTTCCCCACCCCCACCCCTGAGATTGAAACACCCACTTCACTCATGCTTCAGACATATCTGCACAGCCATGAGGGCTAGAAATTTGCTTTTCTTTTTAAATAGAAAGCTAAGATTCTGTGCTTTTTCTTTGCTCCCGCAGAAAGATGGCATGTGCACAGCTCCAAATACAGTCTTGGGGGGGGGGTGATTTTGGATTGCTAATGATGTCATTTGAACAGGATGGATGGACAGACGGATAGATGATATTCCACCTGAATTTTCTCTTATTTGCATGATCTTTGAGGAAAGAGGCTTACCCTGGAAAAACTCTGTATAGAATCATGTAGATTGGCCTTGAAGCTGGCGGGTTTCCCGGACCCTGGGCACTAACAGCTATATTCAGCCCTACAAAGGCCCATGAGAATGCGGCTTTCTCGTGCAAGGCAGGCTAGGGGACTACTCATCTCACCACCAAGTGCAGCAAAATTTCAATGGGTCTCTCCAGAAACGGAATTCAGAATTGGGCTTTTCTTGGGTCTAAACTAGATGTTACACATAATATGAATCAAGACACGGGTGCCCATCTCAACCTGCTGTCACACTGAAGAACTGGGCAACTTACCCTAAAAGTGCTCCGTTGTGCTCCAGAGCACAGGGAGGGGGGAGTATAAAGTACTGAGGCTGATGGGTGGTAGCCTGATTACAGCTCATACTTTACTGGTTACATGGAGAACTAGAGATCCTTAGTCTGGCCCGAGGCCAGCTTTTATCCCCACAGCAAACCACACCCAAACACACACCCGTGATATGCTATTTACAGTGCATTCGAGTCCCGTAGGTCCTTACTCAGATCCTAGCCCTCTGATAGGTGCGGGCTAGGATCTGTTCAGGTTATTGTCTCTATGAGCAAAGCTATGGCCTTTCGCGTGGCCCCATGTGGACCCGACCGCGTGTGCGGTCGTACTTGGTACACAACAGGGAGCTTCCGGCTTCTCTATGATGCCATTTTCACCAGCAGAAACAGCCTCATGCAGGACCCCCTGTGGCTGTTTCCACTGGTGAAAGTGGTGCGGTAGGGAAACCAAAAGCCCTTCCTGCCCTCTTGCACAGCCTGTTGTTATGTAGAAAAAGGTAATGACATCGCCAACCCTTTTTCAGGGCTATTCTTTGGGTTTATCACAGATGTTCAAAGAAATCCTGAATAGGTGACTTTTTTAAAAGAAAGGAAGTTGCATGCTTTTGAAGCTGGGCAAAGCAAAACACTTCAGAAATGCACTTTGCATTCCACAGAGGCCAAGAGCCCTGCTTGGAATGGGAGCTTGCATTTTGCTCCCTCCTGCCAACAGTGGAAGTCAACAATCATGTTGCCAACATGGAAGGGAATAAGATGACTGTTTTCATCAGCGTTCCCCAAACCCAAGAACTACAGGCGAATTTGCTCCCAACCAGCATGAGATCTGTTCATTCAACACAGTGCTAGATCAAAAAGGGCAGGGATTCTGAGTCCTTTGCCCAGACAGTAGTGAAAGGTACAACCAACGACAGATGCATGCACCTCCCCACAGACACGTACCTTCTCTCTTCATGCCCATTGCTAAGCATTTCTGATAGCGGCAATATTGGCAACGGTTCCGCTGACGCTTGTCAATCAGGCAGTCTTTGTTATCACGGCAAGTGTAGATAAGGTCTTTCCTGATGGTCCGCTTGAAAAAGCCTTTGCATCCTTCACAGCTGTACACCCCATAATGCTTTCCTAGTAGCAAAACAGCAGCATGTATTAGTGGATGTCTGATTTGAAGACAGGGCCAAAGAGGAATTGGAGGGGGAGGGGGTTTGACCTTTTTGCTCTGAGAAACACTCGGTCCAGAGACTGATGGTGCCAGATTTTTGACGCAGGGTCTCAGGATCGAGAAACAAGTGATGTTCAGCATGTATGAAAAACCATGACTGGAGCCATGCAACTGGGTTTTATCAAGGGCAGTCTGGGAGGACAAAATGGTCTGCCAGTCCCACCCTTCTCGTGAAGGAAGGCATGACTGGTGGTGGCGAGCAACACGTCCAGCATTTGGGGCTAGCATGTGTGAGGCAGAGAAATTGCTGTTGAAATTTCAAATGCAACACTAGTCACCTCTCCAAATGCTTGGGATGGCTCTCAAAATTCATAGCGCACAAATTTTAAAAGGTGAATTTTTAGATATTTCCCCAACACAGTCTTAAAACTATAGTGCCTGAAACCCTCAAATAGTTGGTACTCAAACTCCGAGTTTCAACTAAAACAGTGCAATATTGTGCCTAAAGAACCGCCTACTCCCATATGAACCTACTCAACCACTCCAGTCCTCTTCAGAGGCCCTGCTTAAAGTAACTCTGTCATCTGAGACTGCATGGGTAGCTGTGCAAGGACCTTCTCAGTAGTGGCACTAAAACTTTGGTACTCCCTCCCCAGAGAGATTCACCCATCTCCCCCTGATTATTCCCTCGCTAATTCTTATTTGTCTTACTCCATGTTTCTGTGTTTTATGTGTTTATTGAGTAAGGCAGATGGAGGGAGGGAGGGAGGGAGGGAGG